GTCCATCTCCCCGTAGGCACCCCGTCCTCTCTCACTGGCTCTCCGTCCTCCCCCGCCGACACCCCATGTCCACCTCCCCGTAGGCACCCCGCCCTTTCCCGCCAGCACCCGGTCTTCCCCGCCGGCACCCCGTGTCCACCTCCCCGTAGTCACCCGGTCCTCTCTCACCGGCTCTCCGTCCTCTCCTGTAGGCACCCCGTCCTCCCCCGCCCGCACCCCGCTGTTTCCCGCCGGCACCCCGTGTCCACCTCCCCGTAGGCACCCCTGCTTCCCCCGTGACCGTGTTCGGTGCACATCTTTCATTGCATTAGGCGTGGTAATAACTCAGTGGAAAAGGTTTGGGGGACCGTTTTTCTAACGCTGCGGAGCTATGCGCACATCTTTGATGAGTACTCCCTATTGTGAATGGTTATCAAGGACTCCACACCCTCTCTCCACACATGTCCCCCCCACCCCTGCCCCCTTCATTTTTTAAAGTCACACGCTCCCTTTCTTTAAAGCGGGCGTGAAGAGAACCCTGCGGGCCGAGATCGAGGCCGTCCTGCGGGAGAGGATCATGGTCCTGGATGGCGGGATGGGGACCATGATCCAGCGGCACAAGCTGAGCGAAGAGGACTTCCGAGGCCAGGAATTTAAGGATCACGCCCTGCCGCTGAAAGGCAACAATGACATCCTGAGTATAACGCAGCCCGACGTCATTTATCAAATCCATAAGGTAATGGGTCACCAGGCGCGGGTCCTTGCAGCCTGCCATGCCTCCCACCCGTGTCATGCACTCAGGGCAGAACACTGTCCTGGGTGCCCTGGAGGAGGGTACACACACTTGACACAGCTCTCAAAACAGTGTGTGAACTTGTCTGAGGTCAAGCTTTGTGTTTATTTATTTTCTTAAAATATATTTTTATTGATTTCAGAGAGGAAGGGAGAGGGAGAGAGAGATAGAAACATCAATGATGAGAGAGAATCATGGATCGGCTGCCTCCTGCATGCCCCCTACTGGGGATCAAGACCGCAACCTGGGCATGTGCCCTTGACTGGAATCGAACCTGGTACCCTTCAGTCCCCAGGCGGATGCTCTATCCCAGTGGTCGGCAAACTGCGGCTCTCGAGCCACATGCGGCTCTTTGGCCCTTTGAGTGTGGCTCTTCCACAAAATACCAACTTCTGCGCATGGGCCACGAAGTTTCAATCGCACTGTACATGTG